TAAACAAGAATTTTTAGATCATAATAGATTAGATGGCAGAAGTGAACAAGAGCAGAAAAAGAGCAATTAGAAATTTAGAACAATTACAAATTTGTGATTTACAATATATAGCTGAATATACCACTGATTTCTTTAAATATTTAGGTAGAACAGGTAGAATTAGTGATATTAATTTATTAGATACTTATATGACAAAAATAAAAGGACCAATAGGAGAAAATATTTGGAATGAATGGCAAAAGCATCCAAAGAAAAATGATATTGCAATAGGACCTAGAATTCAACATGTATACGATATACTTAGACAAGAGTGTAGTCAAATAAAAGTTAAGAGACAAATTAGGAAACAATTTTATATGAGTTGTAAAAACATAGATTTACCACAACAGTATGGTTGTCATAAGAAAAATAATAGCATAAGAAAATACACAAAAAGAAATATAAGCCATATAAACCCTACAAACAGTATAAGAATTTCAGTATAAGACCTTCAAGAACATATAGGAAGAGAAAATATATTCCAAAACAATTTAGAAAAAGAAGTGGCAGACCTTGGATTAGAAAATATAAAGCACCAAAAGATAAGAGTGATTGTAAATGTTATTCATGTGGAGAAACTAGACATATTAGACCTAAATGTCCAAAACTATGTAAACAGTCAAAAGAGAAAGTACATTTGATGGAGTTACTTAAGATAGAAGAAGATGAGGATATTCAGTCAATATACAGTTTAGATAATTTAAGTGATAATGAGAGTATTTATAGTATAGAGAGTATTAACATGGTAGATTCAGACTCAGAAGATTCAAGTAGCACAAATAGTGATTTAGAAGAGTATATGTGTGCCTTCATAGAAGAACAGCATGAAGAAGAATATAAATACATTAATTTAGGTTGGCCAGAAAAATGTCATAAGTGTAGTAAATTAGTTGCAAATAAATACTATAATACATATTCAATATTGTGTGAAAATTGTTATAATAATAAGTTATTAGAAATTAATTCAGCAGAATCACAAGAAAGTACTGAAATATTAAGAAATGCTGTTTATAGTATAGAAAAGCCAAAAAATAGTTCTTTAATTACCATAAATTGTGAAATAGAATTGGCAAAAGAACATAAGATACAAACAACAGCTATGATAGATACAGGAAGTACTAATTGTGTTATAAGAGAGGAGTTAGTACCAGAAAAGTATAGACAAAAATTAGCAAAACCAGTGAAAATAACGCAGTTTGATGAAAGACCAGTCTATTTAACACATTGCATTAATAATGAGTCCATTAAAGTGGAAAAACAACAATTTAATCTACCATTAACATTTGTCTCACCAGTAGGATCATACTCATTCATTCTAGGTTTAAACTTTTTGAAAAGTTTACAAGGTTTTTTATTTATGAACCCTAGCATAACATTTTTCAAAAGAGGAATTACAATAACTGACCAAAGTAATACCATAGAAGCATACAAAAGTATAAGTATAGAAGAATCTAGTAGTCAAGACAATTATTATTTGGAAAATTCAAAAGAAAATGATGAGCATAATAATCTAAAAGAGTTTGAGTTTGATGAAGAAATATTTGAACACGAATATCCAATTATCGATGAAGGAACCCGTATAGAAATCTTACAGTTAGACAGACCAAAGAGTTTAGAAGAATTGTTACAATTAGCAGAACAAACTAGGATTATAGGAAAAGACCCACAGTTACATTGGAGCAAAAATAAAATACTAGCAAAATTAGATATAATTAACCCAGATTTAACCATTAAGACGGCTGATATGCCTTGTAGTCTAATAGATAAACAAGAGTTTGAGCAGCAAATAAAAGAGTTGTTAAATTTAAAAGTAATTAGACCTTCTAAGACCAGACACAGATCAGCAGCATTTGTAGTAAGAAAACATTCAGAGCTAAAAAGAGGAAAGGCTAGAATAGTTTATAATTATAAGAGATTAAATGATAATACATATGAAGATAGTTATAAGTTACCAAATAAAGATGAACTTATAAATAAAATTCAACAAAGTAAATATTTTAGTAAATTTGATTGTAAATCAGGATTTTGGCAAATACGATTAGCAGAAAGAATCAATTGGGTGGACAGCTTTTACTTGTCCAGAAGGACATTTTGAGTGGCTTGTTATGCCATTTGGACTTAAAAATGCTCCATCGATCTTTCAAAGAAAGATGAATCAAATTTTCAAGAAATATGATAATTTTTGTAGTGTTTATGTAGATGATATTTTAATACATAGTAAAAATCGAAATGAACATAGGAAGCATTTAGAGATAGTTTTACAAGAATTTATTAATAATGGGATTGTGATTAGCAAAAATAAAATAGCATTAGAAAAGCAAGATATAGAATTTTTAGGAATGTATATCAAGTCAGGTACGATACAATTACAAGATCTAAAAAGGTATTAGAATTTCCAAACAAATTAGAAGATAAGAAACAGTTACAAGCATTTTAGGATTGCTAAATTATGCAAGAAATTTTATCCCTGATTTAGGAAGAAAAATAGCAGTATTACATAGTAAAACTAGCAAAACGGGACAAAAATATTTTAATAGTGAAGATATTAAATTAGTTCAAAAAATAAAAGAAGAAATTACTACTAAACTTAAGCCATTAACATTACTATTAGATGATAGTTATAAGATAGTCGAAACAGATGCTTCATCATTAGGATGGGCAGGTATACTATACCAGAAAAAGCATAGGGAGTCTCCAAAGTCTGACGAACAAGTTTGTAGATATTCCTCAGGAAAGTTTAGTGATGTACAGTCAAGATTACCATCAACAGATTTAGAAATTTTAGGGATAATTAATTCACTTGAAACATTTTCTTTATTTTTACATAATGAAGTATTTACGATTAGAACAGATTGTCAAAATATAGTTTCTCATTATAACAAGATACATGCTAATAAACAGGCAGCCCGAAGATGGGTTAATTTTGTTGATTCAATTACAGGAAATGGTTTTAAACCAATTTTTGAACATATAAAAGGTAATAACAATACATTAGCTGATATTTTATCAAGATTAATTTTTGTTGAACATGTATGGAATATCGTGGACCATCATCAGCAAATAGCACAAGGCCGCAAGGCAGAAGAGTTTCTTTCAATGGCATGATGATGCACCATCAACCTCCACCATTCAGTGGATTTCAAAATAGCATGAGCAGACCAGCATCACCACCAGTACCCACGTTCAACTTTAATGGCAATATTGTTGAAGGAATCAGAAATCCAACTCTGAGATACAGGTCAAGGGTACCGGGGCTTTCTGATAGGCAGCAGGTTCTCTTAGATAATTTCTGGAATATCCAAATTAAGCAGTCAAGCATGAGGTTAGGTCATGAAAAATTAATTAGAGCCTTGGAACAAGAGTTTGATAGCTTTAATTTTAATTTCCACTAAAACCAGCAGCATATTTATTCTCTTGAGCACAATCTTCAAGCCATTTCTAGGGACCATGAGTCATTACTTGGTAAGTTCACCAAAATGAACCAAGAACTCCAATCTCTTAGAATGCAGCAAAAGGCAAGTGACACCTTGAAAAGAGAATTAAAAATAGGTTTAGAAATTGATCAGCATAAAGGAAAAGAGGTTATTGAACCCATAGAACAAGAGGCTAATGAACCCATAGAAGAAATTAAGATTGAGCTCTTAGAAGAAGACGTTGAAATGGAGCAACATCAAAGTAATGATCAGCATCAGGTTCTGAGTGACAAAGAAAAACAAGAAGAATATGAAAGTTTTCTTAGAAATATATCTTCAGACTTAATATTAGACGATGTTTTATTAGAAGAAATTTTCAAAAGCAAAACTAAGAATAATGCCAACAGATATGCAAAATGAGATCTTGAGCAGAGCATCACAGTCCATGAAAGAGTTACAATTACAATTACAATGCGCCTTGTATCAGTCCATCTTTGATCCAAAACCAGGGATGGATATTATTACAAAGATGTATCCTCCATGTCTTTGTGATAGTACAGAGAATTGTATTTGTAAACCAGAAGTTAGCGTAGCTGTGGCCAGGATTGACATGAGAGATTTTAAATCATGGCATTTTAGTTATGAGCATCAGAAAAAGCATAATGAGGTAGAAGTCACCCCTGTCTTACTATTAGAGTTTGGTTATCTCGATAAAATATTTATTAACCGTATTTCTCAACTAGAATCATTTCCTGAAAAGCTTATTAAAGTAGCAGAAGACTATCTAGAAAGGTGGAAAGAAATTTGCATAAGTTTTATTAGTAGTCCTCCAGATTGGTATGTACACATGCATAAGGAGAAAACTAGGCATATAGCCATGATCAATGAAGAGTCCTTTAGACTAAACTCTATCTCCTCACATAGGTGGACTCCTTCATACAAAGATATTTTAAAATTTAGAGGGATCCAAATGTTTGCTTTAGATGAGTTTGAAGATTTTAGGTATGATATGGTACTAGTAGCAGAAGAAGAAGAGATGTATATTTACAGCAAGACAAGAATCAGTCATCAGCCTTATTGGAAGCCCCAAAATTTCAAAGAAGAAACAGCGGAAATATATTACAAGGTGAAAGAAGATAGAGAAAGAGATGCGGAGCTAGTAGAAGGCGATGAACAGTATTGGAATAATTTGTCAGAAGAAGAGCTGCATAACATCGACAACATGATGGAAGCCTGAAGAACTAGCTGTAAATTAGCATAAGATGAATAACATCATAATGTATTTCCAGACAGAAATGTCAACATCGTTGTGGTCCGCATGTAATGGCATAAGAGTAAATAAAGAGAAGAGTTTGATCTATTATAGACTTTTCATACATAAAATGTCCTTATGGTTAAGAATGAATAGTACCAAGCCCTTTTCGTTAAAACTCCCTAATAAAAAATCATAGATATATTAATATTTCAGTAAAAAGTAATACTTGCATGAAATTTATTGTACACACCGTTTACACAAGGATATCCATGTCCTAATTTTCCTTCATGATTCACCTGTGTATCGTATCCTCCCTCAAGTGAGGTAATAAATGTATGCGCATGCGCTATTTTAGCAGCTTCTTCAATTTGGTCCATTGTAGCATCCCGCCCATAAGCAATATTGTCTCTTATACTTAAACTCAGCAAAGCAGGCTCCTGTGTGACTAGCCCTATCTGACTTCTTAGCCACTCCAGTCTCAGGTTTTTGATATTTTCTCCATCCAAAAGAACTTCTCCTGCACCACAAAATGGAAGCACCGTTAGAATCTGCAAGCAGAAATTCTGGCTACAGGTTTCAGTAAAACCTTAAATGAGAAAGCTAACACAAAGCATGAAAGCGAAATCTGACTCTCATACCTAAAGTTGGATCATAAAACCGCTCCATGAGGGGGATAATACTGCTCTTTTCCTGAACCATTTCTGCCAACGAGTGCTACAGCTTTCTTAGCAGGTACAGTGAGGTAAAAAACCACTCAATATGGGGATCTCAGGACGAGATAGATAACTGAAATATACATTTCGAAACTCAATATTTCCTTGTACAGTCGCTAGGGCACTTCCCTCGTGATTAACAGTAGAGGATGATCGACTTATCATCTCAAAAAGTCTATAAGCAGCAATTCGACCTTGGTCAAATGAGTAGAAGTTTGTTGCCGCTTGATTCAGCCCACTGTAAAGGTTTGAATTAATACACAAGTAAAAGGAATAAATGGCATGCACGATCTCCATAAAAAAAAAAATTATTAGAAAAAAGACAAGAAAAAGAAGATGCTTACAGGCCACTTAATATTACAGCAAAAAGGGCTGTTATAATTTCACCACCATGAGCTTCATGACTAGTAACCAGGAACCTTCCAACCCACAGTTGCAGGGCACAAGAACAAATGGCAAGGCCATAAAGTGAATCCAAGTCCAAGTCCTTGCACAAGACTTATCAATATGCCATATCTTAGAGTTGCTTGCAGTGATGTAGCATACGAATACTTGGCCAATGTTTCATTTGTAAATGCATATAACGTCCTAATGTAAGAGAGACTGCCTGCATAAGTTGAGAAGTAAGGACATTTAAACAAACAATGGCATAAACCACTTCACAAAAATGACAACTGCCACAAATCAAGACTCAGCAGTACCAAGAAGATAAAGACACAGCTTCTGTCAATATTTGTCATAAATATATGATATTATGAAATAGAACGGAAAAAATTATCTTTAATCCCATGGGGTGTAAGGTAAGATTTTATCTTTAGCATAAAAAGATAACAAACCTGTTCAGCAATGCTAGCTGCTTCAGCATATGCATCTTGAATATTCTCAGCAAGCCTATGAAGAAATATATTTGATATTCCTCCAGCAGCCACAATAAAAGGACCGGTGGCTAATGTTATAGCCGCAATCTGCCAACAGTTGATGAATCCAATAATGAGACCACTGAAAAATGTAGCCATGTTATGAATATAATTTCCAACCTGCATTGTCAGAGAAAAATGGAAAGATTAGACAAGACACATGCACCAAGGGATCAAATTAGGAAGGCTACTTTTACTCGTCAAAGGAAAAGAAGTTGTGTGTGTGTGTTTGAAGGGTGGGTGCAAATGAGGAAATATATTAGCTTTAGACATACTTTTTCACTAAGAGCAGACTGAATGAGCAACACATCACTCAATACTTGGCTCACAATGTCCCCGTTGTTCCCATAGGTATCAAAAAAACTCATATCCTGGTTAAGTAATACTTGAACATAGTTTGACCTGATGACAGCAGTCTGGCGTTCTCCCTCCCGTCAGAATCCAGCATGAGACCTCTATTACACATAAAACAAGTTAGTACAAATGTATGCAAAGGATCGTCTACTGGAAGCACAGAAATATGAGAAAGACTAGTTCTGCTAATGAACTTTACCAATCCAACCAGCAGCAAAAACACCAGCGGCAATATAAACGATGGACAAAGAAAGCTGCAGGCAGACAAATAAATCAGATATGGAATAAATTCTCATACGTTCAACTTCTATTTCAGTTATAGATACTCATTAAAAAGACAGTATAATGCGAAAACAAAAATGTGTCAGAAAGACAAAAAAAATGCCTTTGGTTCTATAGACACAAGGAGAAAAAACAGAAAAACAAAAGCCTCAACCAATTCTTTATGCAAAAGAAATAATTTTATTTCAAATATATAATTTTCGCAAGGGGCTCTCAATTAACATTCACCTCTGCACCTGAGGTCCAAATTTCAACTGCCCCCTTCCCACATCTCTCATATAAAATATACATCTAAAAAATGCAAAAAACATCAGAAACAAACAAGTACATACTTTTTTCTCAGCATCAATCTATTCTTAATAATGCAGTTTATTAACTCTCTAGCGTATCAATGTCTGTCAATGGTAAAACAAGTAATGGATAAACCTATGCCCCTCAGATGTGATCTCACATCCTTTGAGATGACTTCAGCTGAACTACTAAATAATCATGTTTCTTATCAAATTAAACAGGATTGAAATCTAAGCAGAACTTTCATTATCTACAATCATGATTTATACACAAACTTGTTTCAATTACTTAGGAGCTAGTTAAAGAAGAATTTAATCGATAGATTGTAGACTGTAAGTTTCACAAGGAAAAATAAGCAGAAAACGGAAATTCTCGGTCACAACATTTTGGTAAGCCGGTGATTGTAGTAAGGGAAACTTGTTAAAGCACAATCAATTAAACTCCCTACCAAGTAGCGATTCACTATGTCATTGTGATCCCTAATGCTCAAACTAAAAAGAACAATAAAACCGATTACTAAAGAATTCAAATTTTCTCCACGTATGGCAACCCGAACACCATCCAGCCACTATAAAAACTGAAACAATTAGTTTCATTTTACTAATCCTACACTTGAAGTTGAAGCAGGCCATGTCCAGC